GGATAGTTCCGTATGGTAATTTATGACTTGCACGCAAAATTTGGTATCATTTCGAGCAGTCTAAGTATGATTCAACACGTTCGGAGTAAGTTGGAAGAACTTGAAGTTCATAATTTGATTCCATTTGGTTTTGGGGTGAGATTCTTAGTTTCGTTGTTGTTTTTCGAGTTTTGAGAGTTCGAGCAAGTCTATATTATGTTTATGGACTTGTTGGTGCAATTGGACAGGGTCTCGGGGGCTCAGGTGCGTTTCGAACTGCCCGGAGCTAAGTCCATAACTGTTGGTGTGCTGGTTCTGGTATCCTTCTTCGCGAACGCGGAAGGACCCTTGCGTTCGCGATGAAGGATTTGGGGACTGGAAGCTCTTGCTCTTCGCGTTCGCGTTCGCGAAGATAGGGCCGCGTTCGTGGAGGCTTGGAACTGTTGGACTTCGCATTCGCGATTAACTAACCGCGTTCGTGTAGGAGCCTAGGCCTGGGCCTGGGCCTGGGAACCTTCATTGCCTTTCACGTTCGCAAGTGGAGGCCCGCGTTCGTGATAAGTGGGCTACTCAGTGCACCGCGTTTGCGAGTGCCTTCTCGCGATCGCGTAGAGCTATTTTCCTGGGTTCTTCAGTTTTGCCTTCGCGATCGCGTAAGCTTGTCTGAGATCCTGATTAAGGCACAGACCTGGGCAGAATGTTTCAAAAACGGGACTTAGGCCATTTTCTCTCATTTTTCATTTCCTTGGCCGATTTTGGAGCTTCTTGGAGAGGGGTTTTCACCTAACTATTGAAGGTAAGTAATTCCTACCCAATGTGAGTTTAATATATGGATTATGGGTAGATTTTAAAATGTAAAATTGTGAATATTATGGGTTTAGTTAAAAAAAACTTAGGTTTTTATAAAAATGGAATTTAACCACGAAAATGATTATTGAATTGGGTGAAAATTATATATTTGAGTTCGTGAGCTTATGGGTAACATTTATCTTTGAAATTTTTCGGAATCCGGGCACGTGGGCCTGGGGTGAATTTTATAAACCTTCCAATTTGGGTTGGGTAATTACTTTAATAGCTAAACTATGAACTTGTGAGTGTATATTGATTAATTTATATAATATTTGGCTAGTTTCAGATTATTTGGCACCAAGTTGAGGATTTAGAGTGGATTTGTGGACCGGAAGTGAGATTGAGAACGAGGTAAGTCTCTTTCCTAGCCTTGTAAGAGATAACTCACCCCCTTGGTTGTATCTTGTTGTGTACTACATGTGTAGAGAGCTACGTACGCATTAGGTGACGAGAGTCCGTGCGTAGCTATATTCCATGATATGTCCGGGTAGTCTTAGATCTACATCATGCCTTAATTGTACCATTGTGTTTATTACGCATATTAAGTGTTTTGAGTAGAGTTGAGGTTAGGGATTTTAAAGTAGCAAATTTTATATTTAGATTTATTATTTTTGGGAAAAATTGAGGAAATACATAATAACTTTGAGAAATCCATGTCCTCTCACGTCGCAAGTACTTCCGCGAGCGAGGTATACTTCTCTACTCTCATGGGAGCGGATCGTTCGCCTCGGCAGTATAATAGATGTATCTATGGTTCGTGTCATTCGACCCTCAGCAGTGCACACGGTATTTTGGATCGGGCCGTATGACCTCGGCATAAATCGTGCGTGATAACACTCGGAGCCCGATTACACTTGATATTATTCTATAGCTTGAGAGGGTATAATCTATTTAATGGCCTGAAATTATTGGAGTTAGCACGTGCCAAATGGAGACTTTTAAATTGACTATTAGTTAAAGAACCATTTATTCATTGCTGATTGTTGTGTTATTATTATTATTCTTGTATTCCATGCTTATTTAGGATTTTTGTATTTTATTATTGACCCATAGTAAATGTCGATGTCGACCCCTCGTCACTACTTCTTCGAGGTTAGACTAGATACTTACTAGGTACATGTTATTTATGTACTAATCATGCAGGATCTGAGGCAGGTGCATCTAGCAGTCAGTCAGGCGCGCATCCCCGTTACCCCCAGGCTTAGTGGTGAGCTGCTCTTTGAGGCCGTTCTGCAGCACCCGTAGTCTCTCTTTTGTATTTACTTTCTGTCTACTCTATTTCAGACAGTAGCTTAGTGTTTTGTATATTCTACTAGTTGCTCATACACTTGTAACACCGGGTCTTGGAAATATGCTAGTAGATATTTGGTGGTTTTTGGGTATTTATATCATTGTACTTGTTCCTTTATGAGCTTACGCTTACTTTATTAAATTTTTCACTTCTTATTTACTTAATAAATACAAATAAACTACTTTGAAATTATTAAAAAGAACAAATACATGGCTAGTTTGTCGCTGGCTTGCCTAGCGGTAACGTTGGGCGCCATCACGACCTATAGGAGAAATTGGGTCATGACAGGGGCCCACGATGTCCATTCCCCACTTGATGAATGGCCGTAGAGAGGTGACTGAGTGGAGATGTTCGCTCGCTTGGTGAATTGTTGGGTGTATTTCTAACATTGTTCGCATTTCTTTACGAATTCTAAGGTGTCTTTTTTCATGGTGGGCCAATAGTATCCTGCCCGCATGAGACACCTAACGAGTGCTCGAGTGAGTGCCACAATGGCCTTCATGGACTTCTTTGAGGATGCGCTGGATTTGGTTTGGGCCCAAACATTTCGCTAGATGGCCGCCGTATGTCCTCTTGTATAGGTCGCTATGGAGGAGATTGTATCTGGCTGCTTGAATTCTTAGTTTTTTTACTTCCTTTTTGTCGTTTGGGAGTGTGTCGTCTTGTAAGTAGGCGATAATACGATTGCGCCAATCCCAAGTTAAGCTTACAGATCTTACCTCGATTTAGTCTAGCGATAAATTAAGGAGATGGACTACATTTTTATCCCCGGTCGTGATATTTTTGGTGGCTGCGGCCAATTTGGCGAGGTTATCTGCTTCAATATTTTGCGCACGTGGGATCTGGTTGAGTTGGCATTCATCGAACATGGGAAGCAGCTTACAGATCTCTGTCTGATATTTTTGCAACCTTTGTTCTTTGATTTGGAAAGTCCATGTGACTCGGTTGAGTACGAGCTGGTAATCACAACGGAGCCTTAACCGTTTTGCCCCATACTTAAGTGCTAGTCTCATCCTGCTATTACGGCCTCATACTCGGCCTTGTCATATTTGGGCATCTTATGGACTGGCGAATTACTTCGCCGGTAGGGACCTCGAGCACGAGTCCCAGTCCGGATCTGGAAGCATTGGATGCGCCGTCATTGTGTAGGACCCAAAGATCTTGTGTTTGGAAAAAAGCTTGGACGGCTTCCTTTTCAACCTCAGGCATTATCTTCGCACTGAAGTCTGCGACGAATTCGGCGAGCACTTGCAACTTTATCGTTGTTCACAGTTGATATGTGATATCGTGCTCGCTCAGCTTGATGGCCCACTTGGCCAGCCTCCCGATGGTTTGGGTTTGTGTAAAATGCCTCTCATAGGAAAGGTGGTAACGACCCAGATTGGATGGCATTGAAAATAGGGTCTAAGCTTTCGTGAAGCTATGACAAGTGCCAAGGCCAGTTTCTCGAGGTGTGGGTACCTCGTCTCGGCGTCAACAAGTGTTTTGCTAATGTAATAAATGGAAGATTGTGAAATTTTGCTTTCTCGGATCAGGACTGCACCACTTCGGAGACGACCAGGTAGACGAGGAGATGTTCCCCGGGTTCGGGTTTTGAGAACAGAGGTGGTGATGATTGATAAGCCTTTAGCTCTCATAGAGCTTGTATGCATTCGGGCATCCACTCAAGGCCGTTATCCTTTTTGAGTACACCGAAAAATCGATGACATATGTCAGACGATCGCAGGATAAATCTCGATAGGGCGGCGATTTGACCGGTCAACCTTTGGACTTACCTTTTAGTAGTCAGTTGCTCCGGTATCCCTTCGATGGCTTTTATTTGGTCTGGGTTGACTTCGATCCCTCGTTGTGACACTAAGAAGACCAAGAACTTTCCTGAGGCTACGCCAAATGCGCATTTCTCTAGGTTTAGTTTCATTTTGTATCGTCTCAATATGTCGAAAGCTTCCTTCAAATGGTCGATATGGTCCTCCACCTTTACGGACTTGACCAGCATGTCGTCGATATATACCTCCATGGTCTTGCCGAGGTGATCTTTGAACATTTTAGTGACCAATCTTTGATAGATTGCTCCCGCGTTCTTTAACCCGAATGGCATGACCTTGTAAAAATATGTTCCTCCGTGGGTGATGAACGTACTTTTCTCCTGGTCATCTTCTTCCATAAGTATCTGGTTATAGCGAGTATGCGTCCAAAAACCTTAATAGGTCGTGCCCAGTTGTTGCGTCGATAAGTTGGTCGATATATGGTAATGGAAACGAATTTTTCGGGGATGCTTTGTTCAAGTCCATAAAGTCTACACACATCCTTAATTTCCCATTTTTCTTTTTGACTATCACTACGTTGGCAATCTACTTGGGGTATTTCGACTCCCTGATGGAGCCATTTTCTAATAGCTTCTCCACTACTTCGTGGACAGCATCATTGATGGCGGAGTTGAATTTTTGTCTGACCTGCCTTATTGGGGGTAGAATGGATCGACATTTAATTTGTGCGTGGAGATCTCCTTGGGGATACCCGGTAGATCTGCATGGCTGAAGGCAAACAAATCTGCACTAGTTATTAAAAATTGACTAAACTTACATGGTTCTTGGGGTTTATAGTCGATGTAAGCCTTTTTAGTGTGGTCGTAGGGATCTAATTAAATGGGGTCGAGGTCCTCTGTAGTCGAGTTCGTGGCTTCAACTATTTCGGGATCCATGATGGCGTCCTTGGTCTCTTCTTATGTCGACCTCGGCACTATTGATTGTTATTCCACTTTTTCCTTGTCTTTATTCTGTTGGGTCGTCGTGCTATCTAAGGCAATGAAGTAGCATTATCGGGACGTGCGCTGCTCTCCCCGTATGCTGAATATCCCCCACGGTGTTGGAAATTTGATTACTTAGAATAAGTTGGAGGGGACGACCCTCACAGGATGTGTCCATGGTCGTCCTAATATGGCATTATATGCAGTGGCCTGGTCCATGATGTGGAATGTCGTCTCCAACGTTATGTCGCCAGCCAAGATAGGGAGTGTAATTTCTCCCGATATCCGTTCAACTGCATTATTAAAACCGGCTAGTGTGATGCAGAGCAACACTATCTTGTCCACGAGTCTCATCTGGGCGATGACTCGGGGATGGATAATGCACACTCCACACCCATCGTCCACCATGATACGTTTGATATCAGTATCTAAAATGCACAAAGTAATGACGAGAGCATCATTGTGAGGGAAAGTCAAACTGTCGGCATCTGACTCGTCGAAAATGATACTTTCTTCGAGTTCGTCATACCGTTCGTGGGTGATGGATCTTTTGAGCTTGTGAGTGGCAGTGAATTTAACGTCGTTGATGGAGGCGTCGTTACTACCGCCGATGATCATGTTAATGGTGCGAGCTGGTAATAGTGGCTTCGGCGGGCCTTGGCATTCACATCCCCTGGCGAAGTTGTTTCTCCCTTTGTCGCTCAGCAGCTCTTTGAGGTGTCCCTGCTGCAACATGTTCACGACCTCTTGCCTGAGGGTGATGCAGTCTTATGTCTTGTGTCCGCGCTCCTGGTGGAACTCGCAGAGGATGTCGGATTTTCTGGTGCCTGGATCAGACCTCATCTTGGACGACCACTTTACCTTCGTTCTGAGTTTCTCCAGGACATAGACTATTTATGTATGTGACACACAAAAATTGTGAGTAGATAATAAAGTGGCATACCTCTCTCATTCCGGTGAGTCCCCGTTCTCGACTTGGATTGGCCTTCATCATAGAGGAAAGAAAGTGGGGCGGGGGGCCCTGACGTATGGCTGATATCGCTCCTTGTTGGTTTGTAAGACCCGGTGATCCCTCCTTATGTTATCTCTTCATTCTTTTCTGGACTCGGCTTGTACCGAGACGAGCCGTCGAGTTGGTCCAATGAGGTCATCATCATCTGCTCGGACTTCGGCACAGTAAGCACTATAGATTTCATCCCAAGTGGTTGGAGGATATTTCATTAATCGGCTCAGCAATTTTCTAGTTGCTCTTGAACCACTACTCAACCCGTTCTGAAAAGCCGCGACCGCCATCCCCTCAGACACGTTTGGTAGGGTCATCCTTACCCTATTGAATCGGGCGAGGAAGTCCCTCAATCCCTCTCCCAAGGACTGCTTGATGGAGAATATGTCGTTTACTCTTGTTTCAGCTTTCTTGGCTCCGGCATGCGCTGTTACGAACTTATCGGTCATTTCTTCAAAGGTTTATGTGGAGTGGGCTAGTAGTTGTGAGCACTATTTTAATGCCCCTCCCGTAAAGGTTTCGCCAAATTTCTTCAGCAAAACAAAGGACACATGTTCCTTGGTGAGATCGTTGCCCTTCTCGGCGGTAACGTAATGAGTCACATGATCTTCGCGATCAGTCGTTCCATCGTATATCCTGAGATACGGTGGCATTTTGAAGGTCTTTGGTATGGCATATGGGTTCGCTTCCTCATTGTATGGCTGATCTACGAATCTATCGGCATCCCTCTTTGGTAGCAGCTTAGGGGTGCCCGGTATCTTGTCGACTCGTTCTTGGCATTCTTTCATTTGATCTCTGAGCAATTTGTTTTCGTTCTCCAATTCTTCCATCCTCCTTAGAATAGCGTCAAGGACTTTATCACCCGTATTGTTAGTAACATTTTGAGTTATACCTGGTGTTGGAGAGTCTGGTTGGTCGCCCTGTTTGTCTACTCGTTGCACTATATGGGCTCTTGTAGTCTCTGTAATCGTGCATGGAGTAGGCTTGTTGAGCACGCTTGCCAGCGTATCGGTCAATGACGCTTCGAGGAGCTTTTTCATGGCCGCTGGCGTCCCTTCTCCTGTGGACATGGAGGCCCCTTTTCCATTTGGCTTTGTTATGCTACAATGGGGGGGAGGTGACCTCTCGCGCCTGAGGGAGGCATTGGGTGTCACATCATCGCCTAATGTTTCACGGCTCTCGTTGATAATGTTCATGAGTTTCCCAGGGAAATCACCTGTCACTTTAGTCCTATCTCCTTGGTTACCTGCCATGTAGGTTTCCGTACGTGCAAAGAAAGAGAAAGATCTTTGGGGTTGTTAGGTTAGTGACTCACGTTAACTGTAGATATAAGGAAACTTAAAAAATTAGCTAAGAAGTCCCCACAGACGGTACCATACTGTTTGACCCAAAAATTTAGATCTGGATTCAACTAATTAGATTTAAGTAAAATAGAGTCAATCTTAGCTAATGATAATATCCAAAAGATAAGGTTGTCGGTTTTATGGCATATAATATGTATGTTTGCCCGAATGATAATGAATGTGAGCAATAACGATAGTATTCAATGATCCAAAAAGATGGAAGATAGCATTAAATAATAACATATAGCAATGGATGGTTTTTATGTAAATAAGAACATATAAGTCACCTGAAAAGGGGTTAGATTTATTGACTCTTCAACCGTAACCTTCATTACTTTTGGAACCGCTTTGACCTTGGGCGGGTCTTTATTGAAATCGTACTGATAAGACATGGTGGTCTGTGAATGCCTCCTTAATGTTAACATGGCTTGATCATATTAGAAATAATTTTTGACCCATACAATTATGCTGGAATATCATGTATAAAACATTTGAACTCTTTTTTGGATTTTAAGAATTTTTGTTCAGATTTTATCTTTACATGAAAAAATGGCTAAATTTCGATTACTTTTGAAACTGTAACTATTTTTTAATTATCAGTTTTAAATCTGGCTATTTCTTATTCCTCCTTCCCCACCCCCAAAAAAAAGATGGATAAAGTTGTTTGGGGGAAATACTTAAAACAGGTCGAGGAGAGTGAGGTACCCTAATTAACCCATGTCATTTAATTTCCCCCCAATACCTCTTCTCGTGCCTTCCAAAGCCAGCCGCTCATACCTCCTTACTGGAGCATATAGGCTTCTCCTCTGAACGTGCTCGAATCATCTGAGCCTCGCTTCCCATATCTTGTCATCAATGGGAGCCACGCCCACCTTCTCCCGAATATCATCATTCCTAATCTTATCCATCCTAGTTTGCCTGCACATCCACCTCAACATCCTCATTTTTGCTACTTTTATCTTCTGGATATGTGAGTTCTTAATAGGAAAATACTCAGTCGCATACATCATGGCCGGTCTAACCACTGCTTTATAAAACTTACCTTTGAGTATTGGTGACACTCTCTTCTCATGCAGGACACCAGATGCTAACCTCCACTTTATCTACCCCACCCCAATACAGTGTGTGACATCCCTGTCGATCTCCCCGCAACCCTGGATAATCGACCCAAGTTACTTGAAACTACCCCTACTCAGGATAACTTGTGATTCAAGCCTCACATCCACGCTCACTTCCCTCGGCTCGGCGCTAAACTTGCACTCCAGGTATTTCATTTTAGTCCTGCTCAGCTTGAAACCCTTAGACTCGAGGGCCTGTCTCCAAACCTCCAGCCTCTCGTTAACACCGGCTAGCGTCTCATCAATTAGAACAATATCGTTAGCGAATAACATATACCATGGAACCTTCTCTTGAATATGGTGTGTCAGTGTGTCCATCACCAGGGCAAATAAGAGTTGAGCGCAGAACTTTGGTGTAACCCTATAACAACTGAAAAAAGTTCTAAGTCGCATCCTACTATCATAATCTGATTCTTAGCTCCATCATACATGTCCTTAATCGCCCTAATGTAGGCAACTGGCACACATTTTGCCTCCAAGCATCTCCAGAGAACCTCTCTAGGAACCCTGTCATACGCTTTCTCCATATCAATAAACACCATGTGCAGATTCTTCTTCCTCTCCTTGTACTATACCACCAACCTCCTAATAAGGTGGATAGCTTCTGTGGTGGAACGACCCGGCATGAACCCGAACTAGTTATCGGATATAGACACCGTCTTCCTCACCCCGACATTAACCACCCTCTCTCAAACTTTCATGGTATGACTCGGTAATTTGATCTATAGTTGTTACAATTCTGGATATCACCTTTGTTCTTATACAACGGAACTACCGTACTCCACATCCACTCATCTGTTATCCTCTTCATCATAAAAATAACATTAAACAGCTCAGTCAGCTACTCCAAGCCTGCTCTTCTCACATACCTCCAAAATTCAATCAAAATCTTGTCTGGCCGGTCGCTCTGTCCCTACTCATCTTACGCATAGCTCCCACGATCTCCTCAACCTTGATGCGCCTACAGTACCCGAAGTTACGGCGACTCTCGGAATGCTCCAATTCACTTAGCACAATATCCCGATCCCCCTCTTCATTCGGAAGTTTATGAAAGTAAGTTTGTCATCTTCTCTTAATCTTAATCGGGGCCTTTCCAATCAATACTAGAAGAGGTCGCTTTACTTTAAAGGATTTTGTTAGCTAGAAATCAATCTTGTATTCTTTAATGCTATCATTAGGAAATGTATAGCATTTTTTTGTGAGCTGAGTGCATACTCAAATGTTGAAGGTCATCTCCTTCTCTTTTGTGTACATTAGAGGTAAGGCTATCTCATTTTCAGTCATGTATAAAATTCCACCAAATAATCTGATTTCGAAACTTGGGTGTTCTTAAAAAGAATGAAATTCTTTATTATCTTTGATGTATCGTTAATTTTTTGTTCCAATTTCATAGCATATGGTATGTGTTCAGCACTTCAGGTAGTTTTGAAATATCATGGTTCCATTAGAACAACCTTTTCATCTTCTGTCAAAATCATTCAGGACACTTAGCACCAGAAACTCCAGCTTTATTACTGAGGTAAAACTAAGGTGGTTGCTTCAATGATATGTCAAAATAAGGAAGTACCCATTTATGGATTTAACTTATATACACACGAATTTTCTCTCTATCAGTATAATTTAACATGTTGTATCAGACGGGTAACTTGACAGCAGTATAGAAGTTCAACTTTTTATTTATTGTAGATTGTAATTAAATGGAAGCTTGAATCTGGTTTGTAGTATTTTCGCTTTCTGTCAACTGGTGCTGGGATACCTGTTGTTCATGTACCTCTTGTTTTATTACCCTATTCTCAGATACTTGCAGCATATCCTACTGTCATTTATATTAGTCTACTAATACATTGTCCCTTTAGTGTTCTCTGTATCTTCTGAAAATAGAAAAAGCTGAGATGATATAGATTTATTACATGTTAGACAATATTTAAGTTGAAATTGAAATAAAAAAGTTGAAGCTAAAGTTTGCAGAAGTTAAGTTATATTAACATATCCAACTCTGTGCGCAATAAAATACCATCACATAAGACGGAATGAAGTATTTCATATATTAGGTAGGTGGAGTTATTTTCAACTCAAACACCCAATTTTCATTTCATTTTGCTGGACCCTTCAGGTTTTCTATACTTGCCAAAGAAAAATATCGGGTGTACTGTAAACTTAAAGACATTACTAGCAGAGGCGGAATCAGGATTTCAAGTTTATGAGTTCGGAATTCTAGTCGTTTTAAGCCACTGAGTTCTAAATTAATAATCTATATATATTCAATGAATT